GGAACGGACCATTCAGAAACCTTCTGCTACCAAAAAGACCACATTCAACTTTCGCAAGTGACCGTGCTGGAGGAAGAGGGGGTATCTGTTGCTGGAGAAGCTTCTGTTGTGAATGATGAGGGACTTGCTGGCTTTTACCCTCCCTCTGAATCTGAAAAGATTCCAGCTTAGAATTTTGGACTGGTTTTGTTCTGAATCATACCAAAAGAGAGATACGAAGGCCAGAGTAAGGCCATATTATGTGAATCACACCAGGGGCGGAGCAAGGGGTGGTTAGATGGGCTTAAGCCCTGAATGTTTGTCAAAAGCCCTGAATCTTTTGGATTTTTAAAAAACAAATTTAACTTGTTTTCATTTTCTCTCAGTCCTTTCTGACTGGAGCTGCAAAAAATGTAAACAAATCTCTATTACCGTGCGTGGATGCGGATGGTAATGCATCGCGCATCACTCAGCTTGACAGCCAACTGCCAATAAAACCTAAAGAAGAAATTCATCGTCGTTGTCATGAGGGGCTGGCTGCTGGGCCTAGCAGGCTTTTTGTATGTTTCACTGGCGTCGTAGCAAGCTTACATAATTATTATGGACATAACAAAGTTTCTTTACAGAAAACTAAACCTCACCGGCCGGAGAGAGATTCAGCGTCAGACGACCCGTGGACAAATGTTTACGCGTCTTTGCATTGACTTAACATTGAAATCACTCGCGCCTGACGCGCTATTCGCGTCCGGTGTGAACGCACCTTGATGATTTGGGGGCACATCTAATCTCGGCACATTAGTGGGATAAGAAAAGAGACTAATTGAGAATTGAGAAATATTATATATTGCTGAAGAAGATTAGAAAGTCAAGAGAAAGTATATTTCCTCCAAGTCACGTTACAGATGCATCAATATCGTTAATAAGTCATTTTTTCCCCTCATACTTTAATTTATAAAGTAAATATTTATATATTCTACATTCATTACAAAAAAAAAGTAAAATAACTCAAGCCTTTTATTGTTTTAATCTTGATAAGGGATTGCAGCTCATGGAAATTAAAACTCCAGTAGTAACGTACCTAACGTTAGTAATCTCAAAATGTATTAGAATTTTAGAACAAAGAATATTTTATACGACCTGACAAGATCTCTAATCAGCTAATCAACTCAAAACACCTGCAAAGATTTCCTGAGAATTTAATCTTTCAGTCTTATTCTGGTGGTGCAACACAATATAATGTCATTATTAGTGTTTACATAATTAAAGGAATTGGTATGCTGAACAGTAATAATTAATAGTAGCAGCAGCATATTGCTAATTAAATGAATATCACAGTCCACAATTTTATATGTAAGCTTTTTGAACAACGTGTCATTGGAGCGTTGCCATGGACGCGTTCTGTTATCACAAACAGCCTGAAAAATAGTGCATTTAGCTGACGTAAATGGGAAAAAAAATCTCAGGGGGAGTATCCCCCTGGACCCCCCTAGGTTTGGGCTAAGCTCCGAATATTTACGTCGTCTGGCTCCGCCCCTGAATCACACATTATGTGAATGATTATAGTGGATAAAAGTATATAAAGAACAATAAAGTAATTAAGCAATTAATAAATTCTAACTTAAATTAGAGACATTAATTATTTAGTTATAGAGAGGAAAAATGAATACACCTCTTGCTTTATTATTCAAATCTGATGGCGTACACACGCACTCCCTTTACATCTATATTACCACTTTGCCTTTTGGTGTGTTATACCAGCACAAAAACTAATATCCTGCCTTGTTCTAAAAACATCCCAGCACATAACGTCATTATTACAAATGGATGTTCCTCACTCCTTATAGCACTAAATGTTCTTATACAATAATGAAATCTGTCTACAAACTGTGATTCAATATTATACCTGTGTGTTACACTTTATACTCCGTAGAATGTGTTGCTGCTAGGCATCCTGGGGCTAACTGACGAAAGCATTTATTAATGGTTGAATTTTTTTTCTTTATAGTTACTTTTGAAATATTAATGACACCGAATTATAATATGGTGTTACTGTGTATGTTAATCACCCTTTATTAATCTACCTGCCTCTTGGCACCTACTGTAGAGGACGTCCTGTGTGACTAGTGTTTGAATGGGATTTCTGATGCTGCTTTGTCCTCATATAGTTCAATGATTATTCAATTCAGTTAATCGCTATCGAATTTCCACAAGTATTCTGTGGAAGGAAAACTCAAGTTTCACCCAATTTGTGATAGTGTTACTTGTGTTCTGTAGTGTCCAGTCTTGTTATAGTCAAGATAATAGTTTATTTTGCTACTGTCATGTATTACCTTTGTAATGGCTTGGAGAATTGTGTTTATTGTATGTAAATGTTTACTTAAAATTGCTAGTTCTCCCAAAAATAAAAATTCTGTCATCATTTTCTCACCCTTATGTTATTTCAAACCTGTATGACCGTTTCTTGATGACTGTTTGGTGGAAGCCATTGGTGTCCAAAACAAACCAACATGGGACCCAACTGACTGTCATCGTTTCATTGTAACATTTTTCAAAATATCTTCTTTTTTTTACTTCACAAAACAATATAAGTCATACCGGTTTGGAACAACACAAGAGTGAGTAAATGATGCCAAAATGTTCTTTTTGGGGGGGATGAATTACATCTTTAAGTCACAAGTGGCTTCGTAATGGCATATTTTGACTCATTTATATTTTGAAATGGCATATATAATTAGATTCTAATCACATTATTTATCTGTTAGATTAGATTACTTGTTAAAAAGACATGGCTATATATACTGATTTGAAAACGACAAGAGCTTAGAGAGAAAAAAAACATGGGCTCCATCACTGCCTTTCCCTCTTAGCTGGCACGTCAGCTCAAGCTTCCATTATTTTTCCATCTCCCTCGTTCGTTCAGTCAGTTTGTTTCCCTCTTGTTCACAGTTGTGTCGTCTGTCCCCGTGCATGCTGACCCATTTTGAGCACTCGTTTCAATTCTCACCCAGCCCGTCCTAGAGGTATTTTAAGCAGACTCCCTTTACACCCAGCAACCTTGAGCCAATGAAATCTTTCAGCCTGCACATGTGTGATATATACCACTGTGATAGCGGCGTCTCTATTTAAATAGGGTCTCCTCTCTCTCTGGCACTAATTGACTCTATTGACTCTCCGAAACAAACTCGCCAACATTTTGGCACTCCATAAAATGTATTAGTGCTGTATGGGAGGTTTGGACCTTTGTGTGAACAGCTCTGCTATGTGACAGTGGCCTGACCTCCCACAGTGTGTTTATATAGCGCACATGTTTTTAGTATTGTCAACATTATTATTGAAACAACGGTAGTTGTTGCTGGTATTTTAAGATTCGCTCTGCTTAAGCGGCACAGCATGACATGTCTTTTGGGAGTGTATATATCCTCTGCAAAGGCCTGGTCTTTATCAGTGCATCTATGATTGGATTAAGCCAGAGCTGAAGTCAGGCTTTATCTGCTGAGAGAAAACAATGCTCCATCTACTGCTGATTGCAGCATCTGAGAGTCAGTTTCTAAGAGTGTCACGATATAAAAAGATTTGCTTGCTTGCTTGCTCTTTTCACCGTGTCAAAGCTGCTCCTTTCTGGTGACGGATTTGAAATACTAAATCTTGGTTACTCTGCAGTTTTGTCTCGTCAATTGTTCTTCAAGGTATTTTTTGTCAGATGGTGCCTGTTTTGGTCAGCTTGGCTCTGTGTGTGCATGAAAGTTGTGTTTGTTTGTCGCACTTTGTGTTATAGTTGTGTCCGCTCTGCATGGAAAAGCATCTCAATGGATTGTGCTTTTAGATTCTACATTATCTGTACAGGAACCATGACTAAAACAACCAGAACTGGGAGAGGAATGATAGAGCCCTCTGGTTATCCGTTGTCTCTGTAAGCTTTTTTTTTTTTTTTTTTGTAGGACGATGTAACCTTGAATGCACTTGAACATTTCCACCTTGTGTGTGTGACTCTCAAACTGCTTCCCTCAGAGGAAGATTACTCATTCTTCTCAAGGGTGTTATATAAAACACCATGTTAATGTACTCCTGTTACCTGCAATTGTCACTGAGGTGTAAGCAGCCAAAACCATGCTTCATCATCCGCCAGAGGCGTGAGTCGTGTCATTACATTTTACATCTGCTCTCATGACTTATAGTCAATCTGTCACTGACTTGGTTGTTTCATTGTTTCCATTGTGTTTTGAGCTCCTGTGCTCTTGAAATCCACCAACGGTGATGTTGATCACTTTAAGTGCAGGCTCTAATGACCACTGCAGTATTGTTTGCAAGGGTGCTGATGTCTATTCTCTCCTCGTTTTCAGTGGGATATAAAATGCAATGAGTGATACAAACTGCACTGTATGTCCCAGGCAAACTTTCTCGCATTCATTCAGACCTGATGTTTTCAGGACAATCTCAGCAAATAAGCACTTTATAGTTCAGTGTATAGCAGCATCTGAAGTGGCGTGTGAGAGAGCTTTCAGGTGCCCTCACAGCCTTTCGGGAACTGAGAGTTAGCTTCTTTTATTATATGATTTGTTATATGTTCTTAATAATTATAACGATTCTTATTAATAATATTATTTATAATAATAATATGTGTTATTATTTCCTCATGTAAAGACACCATAAGTGCAAACCTGTGTATTTGGAATGTGTGCAGATGACATTTATTTTAGGCTGTAGAGAGACCATTATAATTATACTTTTTTTTTTTTTTCGTCGACAGAGTATTTTGAGACTTGTGCGGACTGTAATGTTACGATGATAAATGAGAGTAGCTATTTTTCTGCAGTAGCCTATGTATTTTCCCTCTGTCGATTTATATTTGAATAAATTATTTTCTCTGCATCTCTGTGTTTATCTTGTGACGGGATAGAGAACGCAAAACATTTCATGCTTATTTGTTAGGACATGAGTTAAAACGATTTTAAAAAATACCCATAAAGAATAGCTATTTGTGTATGTCATGTCGCAATAAAATATCGGCAGCGCGCGTGCGATACTAGGCGCGCTCCCGGCGAAAATTCTGGGGGATACATGCATTTGAGGCGAAGAACGTGGACGCGCGTCTGGCAGCCTCACTAGGCAGATCTCCTGTTCACACAATATAGGAAGGAGAGCGTAGAAACGCTACGGTGGACAGGTGAAGATGGAGAAAGTATTAGGACTCGCCGTGGTATCCAGTATGTTATGTGTCGGCTCGGTTTTTGGGAAATATGTCAGAGGTATCGTCAATACGAAAGAGGTGAGTATAATGTTTACATTTTGTTACTATTGAGCTGATAATGGTTCTGAGTTTCCCTGCGTTCTTCAGCTGCGCATCTCCTGACTGCTGTTAGTAATGGGCTGTTATAGCAGTTGTTACGCCTCTGTATTTTGCGCGCGTCTGGAAGCTTGATGCTTTAATAGCCTGTGCGTTGCCAAGATCATTACACCCGCCGCTATTGAGCAGATAAAGCTTAATTCATCCTTAAGACACGAAAAAAACATTTCGTATAAACGGCGCAGCTATTGCCGACAACAAATTTACACCCTCCCATCCGCTTTTACAGGTGTGTGTCTGTCGTTACACCATTGCTTGTATTTATCGCATGCTGATGTTTGTGTTCAAACCGTCCAAACTGATTTTAGGTTGCTTAGCTGTGCTTATAAAGGTTTGTGATATGCATTGTAAGACATCATTCAAACAACAACTCTGCAAACGTGGAAAACACAGACGACTTGAGCCATATTGCTGTTGAAGTGTGTCCATATTTGACGCATGTCATTTTCTTAATTTGTAATAGTTCGGTGAATTATTTGATTTGTGCCTTGTGGGAAACACTGGCTATTATTATCTAATAGATACATGGTGCAAAATGTAAATGTTGTTGGCCAGGAGCAATCAGTGAGACTGAAAGTGCTTCAAAAAAGTAATTGCCGCACTTAATTCATCACCTTGATTTAATTAACAAAAGAATACGGAGAAATTGGGGAGCAATTACATAAATTTCCTTTCAAAATCCATAGTATAGCCTATAGGATAGAAAAAAACTACTTAAATGACTTTTTATTACTTAAAAACTCACGATTTTTACAATAATACGGGCAAGTTAAATCATGATTAAGTTTTGCTGATGGTAATTTAAAAACAACCTGTTCCTGCCTGTATCCAGTGCTGATCCTGCTCTTTTTTTAGTTTCTGTATGAGATGATTAAACAGTCCATTAATCTCACTTCTGTTTATTTCCTTACAAGGTCGTTCATTTAGACTGCCATGCACACCCTCACACATAAATTACCGGAAAGTTTTATCACGGTAATGGGACAGTTCACCCCCAAATTTTAACTCTCATGAATTCCTCACTCTCGTGTCGTTCGAAACCCGTAAGAAGTTCGTTCATTTCCGGGACAGAAAATGAAGATATTTTAATGAAATCTGAGAGATTTACATTGACATTGTCCGTGCAACTACCACTTTGATGCTTCAAAAAGTTCATAAAGTGATCGTAAAACTATCCATACGAATTTGAGCGGTTTAGTCCAAAATTTTCTGAAGAGACAATCGCCTTTTGTGCTGAACGGATAGGCTTCTATTCACATACATTCATCATCTCACACATCAGTTGTTGCAAATGGAAGATCAAGCATGTTCGCTTGACCTGCAAGAACCAAAGAGGTTGTTACGCATGACGAACCAATGAGGTTTGTTCTTGTGCATCAAGCAAGTATACAGCTGAACTTCTGTTTATTTTTGCTGATCAATGTCATGTTTGGGCAACTATCCCTTTAAAGTTGTGTAAGGCATTTGCCCCTTTAAATTAAAACATAATTTGAGACAGAGAAAAACAGCATGGTCCTTTCTTTGTTTTTTTATTTCTGTTTTATGTAGGCTACTAATACTAACAGATTCCAGCAAAGCTCAGTATAGTCTCAGGGGCACTCAGGTTGACGTCTTGTGTGTGTTATATGTGTGTCAGCACATGTGGGTGTATTTATGTGTTGCTCCGTTGTGTAGCTAGAGTAATGAATCATTTAAAAGCCCCAGTGGACCCGGGGTGACATGACTAGTTGATTGGTAATTAATTGTTAATGAGGCTTAGCGGTCGGACAGAGATCCGGAAAGACAGTGAGAGGTGAGGCCACCACTGATTCGGTGAAGTGACCGGATACTGCATCTGCGTATGGTGCTTGATTAATGTAGGGTCTATGTGCCATGTCTCTCATCCTCCTTTTGCCCGATTCAATGACTTTGTATTACAATGCAGTGTCTGTGGGGGATAAGACGGATGGCAGGGATTATTAGTGACACTTTATGGCCTATTCTGCATCACAACACACACATTATGTGCAGCCAGCCATTATACGAGTGTGAGTTTACATAAACAGATACATAATCATCTTAGTCTTCTCCAACACAAGTTAAGCTCAGTTAAAAGCATACGTGGCATTATGTTAATCACACACAAGAAGTTTGTACTCACCCATTGAATTCGTTTAAAGGGCAAAAATCAAGGTTATGGTACTAACAATGAAAATGAATGGGGCAAATAGTTTTACAAGCAAAAATGTGATATCTATAATTTTATTAAAGAGCTTAAATAATTGTTTGTTACTTGAGCTGTAAAACTGTTTAAATTCATTTTACAAATGTTTTATGAAATTATTCATGAAGCAATATTATAATAGGGAACACTTTATTTTACAGTGTCTTTGTCACAAGTACTTTCTGTAGTAAATTAATAATAGCAAATTATGTAAAAATAAATAATAGCAAATTAATAATAGCAAATTATGCATAATTACATACTGACACTAAACCAAACCCTACTCCTTACCCTATAGTAATTGATTTTACTCTGCTTACATGTATAATTACACTGTGACAAAGACATAACCCATTAATATTATTATTGCTATTAAATTGTCAAAGCAACATAATAGTAACATTCGATAAAGCTTTACATAGAAATTTTTACATCATGTTAACACATACTGTAATGTTCAGGTCTCACGGCTATTTTAACATTTACGTATTCGCCCCCTTTCACTTCCATTGCAAGTGCCTCACTGTAATTTAGATTGGAAAAACCAGGATTGGAGGGCGGTCGTTCTTGCTATAGGGGTGTTTAGACAGAGACGGGCCTCTACCGCTTTCTATTGTAGCTGCAAAGTGCAGTATGTGTCTGTTGCCATGACAATACTGAGATTTGTTTTAGTGAGTGGGAGTTTGTTTAACTGTCTGACTGACCATAGGTGCTCTTTTACTTGCACTTCTGTTTTAGAGAGACAAGGTGGTCTTTCAGAAGCTCGGTCATGTGATGCCTGGATCTTAATGGTTGTTTGGGCTCAGTTCTGGGTCAGAGAGTCTTAGGGCTGCTGTCTGTATTGTCAAGGAAACCTGTTGTTATAGAAACCACCAACTGCAGACACTGAAGAGGAAGTTAATATGGACAAGGGGCTGAAAGCTAGAGCGCACTTAGTGCCATTTTACACTTCACTGACTGCCTGTGTGTCAGTGTAAGTTCGAGAGCCTGTGTGAGATGAAGCCCATCTGAAGTCTTAAACACTGCAGGAACTTCATTAACCCTACAACTATTACCATATAGTGTGATATGAAGGTCTTTAAACTGTTATCACTGCATTAGATCAGACTTCTGTTAGATAAGATTGAACTTGTGAATTTATGTGGTGTAAAGCTCAGGGCTTGGAAGCAGAAAAAGATTGCTGGTTTGATCCCTTGAGCTATGACTGTGAGCCATCACCATGAATTGTTGAGCAAGCCTCAGGGAAAAAATCCTCCTAATAAATGTAGTGTAAGGTGCTTTGTCTGCTAAATTATGTCATGCCTAGATGGTGACGCCATTTTGTGAGCCTCACAAGGTTTGCGTTTGCTTCTAGCAGGGGTAGGGTTTCTGTGGGACTCTGAATATGTCACTTTAGTGAATACTATGGGTCTCCTCAAAAGGAGGGTTACCATTCAGACATGGCCGCTACATAACTACATGCTTTCCTATACTTAACCTCCCCTCTTCTCCACAGGACTGGGTTTTCCTCACAAGGTTTTGCTTCCTGACCGATTTTGGCCGATTGAACTTTAAGTTCAGATACCCCAAGGTAAAATGAAATACCTATATTTGAATTTTTACTCATGACTGATGTTGTACTAAATCTCCAATACTGTCACAAATGCATGATGCAGCGGAGAAATAGTCACACTCCTATTAAAACAGCTGTTTTTTCTGAAGGACACAAAGATCAATCAAATCGGAACTTTTAGACCTTTCATGTAAAAATTACAACCCATGTAATGCCACTGAAAACTAAAGTGACGCATTTCAGATATGCTTATAAATGAAAAAATAAAAGCTTATGTGAAATAGTACACACCTGTTTTCACATAAAGTGACTGAGATTACCTCCAAATAAATCTAAACTGTTTTTATAAGATTTTTCTGAAATCATTTTGGTTTTAATGCTTCTTAAAGGGTTAGTTCACCCAAAAATGAAACTTCTGTCAGTATTTACTCACCCTCATGTTGTCCCAAATCTCTATGTGTTTATTTGTTCTGCTGAACACAAAGGAAAATATTTGGAAGAATGTTTTAGTCAAACAGATCTCATTCCCCATTGACTACCATAGTATGTATTTTTTCCTACTATGTTAGTCAATGGGGAATGAGATCTGTTTGATTAAAACATTCTTCCAAATATCTTCCTTTGTGTATAGCAGAACAAATAAACACATAGAGGTTTGGAACAACATGAGGGTGAGTAAATTCTGACAGAATTTTCATTTTTGGGTGAACTATCCCTTTAACTTGGTTTCATGCTAAAACAATCTACAAATGAATGGCTTCAGCAAAGAAGCCTAACCATTAAATTATATTTTCAGGCTGCACCTTTCTTCTTTCTGTATATGTCAGTCATTTACATTCTTTTAAGGTTCTAGGTGGCATAAACAGTCCAAGTATTAATCTCTCCCTCTATCTCTATCTCTATCTCTATCTCTATCTCTATCTCTATCCATCTATCATGTCCTCCTGTCCCTCTCTCTATGTCTGTTGCTCACTGAAAGTCCCGATGCTGTCAGAACATATTGCTCTACTTTGATGAAAGCTCTCAGTGGCCAGCTGTGTACAAGAGGCCGGACAAGGTGAGAGACACACTGATGGACTTTGTGTTTGTGTGTGTGAAAATATTGAATGAAATGAAAAGACTGCATGTGTGTGCGTAAACAAACAGAGAGCATAAGCCTGAATGTCAGAAGTAGAAGTGTATGAGAGTTAAAGGGGAATTGTCAGCAGTGCTCTTGACTAAGAGTTCAAATCCAGTCTCCACATTTTCTCCCTCCCTGTGGCAGGATCTGCATTGCGGGAATCTATGAAAAAGTCCCTGCTCTTCATCAGTCATAATCTACTACTTAGTACTACAGCTCTTGATGTTGTTATAGGGTGTCTTAAATCCCACGTTTGTTAATGCTGGGTTTATGTGCTCTACAGGACTGCTACCTGAAAGAGTCAGTACTGAGGCCTGAAAATAACCAAGTCATCAACCTGACTACCCACTACACCTGGTCTGGCTGCATGGTAAGACAAAAGCTAGTCTTACATATTCTGTGTGCACAACTAAACACTATTGCGAAAAAAAATGTTTTTTAAACTAGTTTCCAAAACACACTGCCTGTTTGCCAACGTCTGAGTCAATTCAAACAAACATAATGCACGCATATTGATTTGTGTTTACACATTTTTTATGTTTTATTTGCAATACGTCTCATGGTAAACTTGGATAGGAGAAAGAAAGAAATGATACACATCAAATTATAAGCCTTCTCTGTTAAATCAGTGGTGTGCTATTAGGCAGTGAAGCAGTGATGTTATTTTATGTCTTTATATCTGCCTCTATCATGCAGGTGGAAGGCGAAGGTAATGAAGAGATGCTGAGTTGTGTAGGAGGTCGAAGTTTTCGTTCTGTCAGAGAGAGATGGTGGTACATTGCGCTCAGCAAGTGTGGGGTGAGTGCTGATACAATAAACAGTATGTAGTGACTAATAATGTGCCTGAAACAGAACACCTTATTCACAGAGGCATGATTAATGACTTCACAATGAATACGTAATTGTACTCAATAATACGTTAGACTGATTATGCAACAAGGGCAAAGCAATATTTTTAATGAACATATCAAAAGACATAATGGTTTGTCTGTGAAGCCGCTATGGTTAAATTGGTATCCTGTGAATGAAAAGGAGAATGGTGTGAAATTTTCTGAACACAGACGGCCGTGTTGCTGTCTCCTTTTAAAGCGAGACTCTGAAAAATACGAACATAACACACTATAACACACTATAATCACATTTTTGTTCACCTTGTGAAAAATAAAAGCTAATTTAAAATTTTAATAAAATAACACTTCTTTGGGGGTTACAATCTATTTATTTTAGTTAGATCATTTTTAACATTTAATTATTTTACATAAAGGTTTTAATAAAATAGGAATTAGTACGTTTCTGAATTATAGAATTCGCTGCTTCCATATATGACATGTAAGAAACATGGCAAGTGTTTTTATGACCTGGTTTTAAAGCTACACTGTGTGATTTTTACCCCCATCTAGCGCTGTAAAGATATATGACCATCCAGTGAATATTAGTTTCTGTTCCTCTCAATTCCGATTTCGTTTTAACTCCTACGTTGGCCAATGTAGTCCAAGATTAACATGGCTTCCAGTTCGACCTCGTCCATGAGTGTTAACTGAAACGTAAATGCGAAAGGCGAAGCATGAATTAACGGGTATGTCCCTCTTTGGCTAATGTGGCTTTCAAGATGGAGGGGCAACATGGCGACCGACATTAGAACCCCTTATCCGTATGTATTTTCAATGGCATATTATACACTCATGAGAATACTTTATTACTTGAACGAAGTAAATATACATTAATGAGCACACATAGTTTTGAAAGAACTAAGTGTTTTTAGCTAAGAATAAACTAAAAGAGTTACACTGTGTAGCTTTAAGGAATGTGATTAAATGGATTTTTTGATAGATAACGAGGCTTTGGTCCCATTTACACCGTATTAAGATCAATTGGTCAATTGGATCACAAGAGGACGATACTACATACAAGTGTAAACAGGGTCTAAAACGTTTTGAGTTTGTCCACCTTTGACTACTTCCAGAGGTAGTCTGTTTTCACATCTGTAGTTCGGTTCATTTGGTCCAGAGGTTTTGGTTCGTTACTTTTCACACCACACTTGATTGCTCTGGTCCGAATCAGTTGATGAGTTGATGAAACGAACCAAAATATAGTCACGTGACAACATGACTCCACATTACTCGTTGGCCAGATATATCTTGAACATATTTCCATAACTGCACTTCGATTGGTCGGAACGCGCGTGAAAATCCGGCTGACATGCGGAGAATTCACTCACAATGTATGTTCAGAATCAGCACGAGCTTTATCCTTTCGCAAATCCCCTCATAAACAACAAATTATTGACGCGATATAAATATGAGATTCACTGTGCAGTGCGGGCAACTTCAGTGTTTATGATGAGTGTTTTAGTGAGAGTGCAGAACGCGGAAAGTCAGTCATGGATTAAAGGGTGCGGTATTGGCTATAAAAATATTCATTTTGTTTTACTACAGCAGCTGGTTTAGTCCAGAAATGCAGTTATTTGGCAGTTGGGTCTGTTTGAGGTCGGATCATGTTCTCACCACTCCAGAGTTCGTTTGAAAGCGTACCGAGACCACCCCTTCGAGGAGGTCTCTGCACGCTTGTTTGGTCCACTTTTGTTGCGCACCCGAGTGCGATTGCTGCCTTCACACCTGCCCAAACCAAGGGGGAAAGCGAACTCCAGTGCGATTCAACGGAACTAAATAAGACAGGTGTGGAAGCACCCTAAACGTATTTCACCTGGATTGCTTTCGAAGTGCAAAACCTCATGTTATCGAAATCGAATGCACTCGAACCGCCAAACAAGACCACCTACTCTACCAAACAGTGTTCTTTCACCATTCCTGAACCATCAGTGTTTAGCATGGTCTTTCAGCTATCAGAGCAGAAACGAAAGCCGATGCTTTTCATGTTTTTCCGCCGTCGCTTTTGTGAGCTTGTTCATCCATTAGATAGAAAGATCAGAAAAAGACCATAGACCTCCCCTCAAAGAAATCAGGACAGAAGTGGTTGAAAGTGGATAAAAGAGATGGATTAAAACACAAAGCCTCTGTGCTGCATTGGACTCTCTACTGGAGACAGTGGGTGATTCTTGTTGTAGCTGTTTAAAGTGATGCACATGTAGTTTTGGAGAGGTATACAACGTGAAGAGATTTAGCCAGATGAATGGGGAAAATGTAAAGGGTTGTTTCATGGATGTAGGCAGACTGACGGACACAATGCTAAATCCTGTTGGAGTGAAGTAAAGCACCATCCCTGAGTAGCGAGCTCTCAGCTCTGTCCATAAGGGAGCTTCTCTGTGCCTGCTGCCAATTTCTCTTCTCATCTCCCTCATACTTCCCTTCTCATTGGCTAGACGAATGCCACTGTTCCTCGTAGCTTCTGTTACGGTTTTTGATTACTTGCTTTATTCTTTCATGCTCATTCACTTTGTAGGCTATATTACAGTCTTTTATCTGTCCCTCTCTTGCTCTGTATTTTTGTCCCACTGTCTCTCACTTCTCCATCTCTGGCCACATTGATTTGGCGATAGGGCAAGCTTCATATGCACCTCACCTTTTTGGAGTGAGGGAAGGGGAATTGTTTTTTCCTGCCAAGTGAACTCAAAGTGTTTCTCTTTTATTAAGCCAGGCCGAAAATCCTCTCAACAGCTAGAAACTGTGCTTCTTTGAAGTCTTTTATAGCCCAAAGATCTATTTGTGCACTCTGTGTTTATATGGTCTCTCCAGATCCCCACTCGTTTTTTTCTCAGTTACACACCTCCTGCTTTTCCCTCCTCTGAATTCTGATTTTTTTTTTCTTCTCTCTTTTGCCATGAAACACAGGGAGATGGGCTGCAGCTGGAATATGAAATGACATTAACCAATGGACAGTCCTTCTGGACCGAGCATTTCTCTGCAGATGAATTTGGTGAGAGACAGCTGAAAGAGAAAGGGATTTATTTTGTATTATGTGAAAGAATGGTTATATATATATGAAAATGAAAAACAAGATAGATTTCTTGATAATATGCATAGTACCAGTTTAGTTATCACTGAAATGTGATCTTAGATTAAGACTTAAAGAAATAGGATTCATCTTTCCAAACTAGTGTCATTATTCTTCTATAAGGAAAGTGCAAAACAGCACCACAATCTTAGGCCATACAAAGTCTTCTGAAGTCACATGACATCTTTGTGTAAGAAACAAACACATTCTTTGCTTAAATAATAAATTAAACATTTAAATAATAAATATTAATAATGTTTTGTTGGAAAAGAGCAGTGTTAAAATTCTGCTAAACTTCTCCTTTTGTGTCCCAGGCTGGAAATACATACTATTTAAAAATGAATTATTTGGTGAATTATCTCTTTAAGACATTCACCATAATTGCACTGTGACTGAAGGGCTATTCTTGTTTTGTTCTGTTTCAGGCATCCTGGAGACAGACATCACATTCTTGGTTATATTTGCCACTGTGTTTTTGCTGTCTTGTTATTTTGCTTGTGAGTTTACATGTCCTGGAGGTTTAAAAGATCCCAAATGCAATGGTCTCAGTGGATATGTTTAAAATGCATATGCTTAAGTTAGATTAAAGGATATTCTTAGCCATCCTCCATCTTCCAGATAAACAAACATACAGATATTATTGGTTCATAATTTTTTTAGTCCCTCTGTTTAAGTTATTAGTTTCCTCTGAATCTCTCTCCCTCTGTGTAAACCTTTAAGATCATTTAAAGGGAAGACAGCTGCTCCATACAACTTATAAGATGTTTATGACTGCGGCTGGAGTGGAGGGTGAGAAAGGCCTCTGAACACACTCATATAGATAAACACTAGCACACACGTTTTATGACACTGGGCTTTGCAACACTGGATGCATTACAATATCTCTTGTGTTCTCTCTCTCTCTCTCTCTCTCTCTCTCTCTCTCTCTCTATCTCTCAGTCTTAAGCCTGCTCTTCTTTTGCTTTTACTGGGGCCTTTATGCCAGGGAGGGTGTCGGGAATGGCAGCCTCAAGATATTAGGTGAGAAAAGCACTTGCTCATAATCGCAAATGATACCATGGTTGGTCTGAATACTCGATTCTGATTGCATTTAATGCACAGGTACTTCCAGGTCATCCAATTTATTTTCTGTGTCCTGCCTGTTTCCATCCATCTGGCCTTTTACAGATAAAGGGGTGTGTAATGACGTCATACCTAAAAAAACTCGCATGAGTTTTGTTGTACCGCTAAAATAATCGTTTCCACACATAATTTCATTGTCGTTATGTAAACTAACTCTCATTAGAGTATTAGCAGTGATATTAAGCAGATTGTCTGCTAATATTAATTACTGCTAGTTGATGTAGTTGTAAAGTTGCTTATAAGTAGTAGAATATCTTTTCATTTAAGTCTGTTTTCAGGAACATGGTTTTGCACAAATATTTGATCAAACCATGAATGACCAATCAGAATGAAGTATTCCAGATAAATAATGTGCATAACAAGATTACAATACAATATCTTGGTTTTAGCATGACACATTTGCGTGCGTGTGACTGGATTCATTCTTAACCCATTCAGACCCTGTGTCCATTACAATGGACATCACATGTCAGCCCCCTTTTTTTAACTTCTGGAGCATTTCACAATGGACAAAAATGGAGGCTCTAGACCCTTCCAGAGCTGAGGTATTGAGATCCCACATAGCATTTATGCCATTATAAATATCTCAATATCTCAGCTCTGGAAGGGTCTAGAGCCTCCATTTTTGCACTCAGGTCTAAGTCTCGTGGCCCTCGATCAGAATCCAGAGTTTCAAGAAGATCAAAAAAACAAAGACCAAAAAAAAAAAACGAAACGAGTTTCTCCAATCTTCTCAAAACTCTGTATTCTGATAGAGGGCCATGAGATTTAGACCTGAGTGCAAAAATAGAGGCTCTAGCCCCTTCCAGAGCTGAGATATCGAAACTCAAAAATTCGGCCCGAAAAAAAAATGACAGTGGTACCCCTTACGTTTTTTTTTTTCGGGCGAAAAATTAAGTTTCTCCAATCTTCCCAAAACTCTGGATTCTGATAGAGGGCATGAGACTTAGACCTGAGTGCAAAAATGGAGGCTCTAGCCCCTTCCAGAGCTGAGATATCGAAACTCAAAATTCGGCCCGAAAAAAAAACGACAGTGGTACCCCTTACGTTTTTTTTTTTTTTCGGGCGAAAAATTAAGTTTCTCCAATCTTCCCAAAACTCTGGATTCTGATAGAGGGCCATGAGACTTAGACCTGAGTGCAAAAATGGAGGCTCTAGCCCCTTCCAGAGCTGAGATATCGAAACTCAAAAATTCGGCCCGAAAAAAAACGACAGTGGTACCCCTTACCTTTTTTTTTTCGGGCGAAAAATTAAGTTTCTCCAATCTTCCCAAACTCTGGATTCTGATAGAGGGCCATGAGACTTAGACCTGAGTGCAAAAATGGAGGCTCTAGCCCCTTCCAGAGCTGAGATATCGAAACTCAAAAATTCGGCCCGAAAAAAAAACGACAGTGGTACCCCTTACGTTTTTTTTTTCGGGCGAAAAATTAAGTTTCTCCAATCTTCCCAAAACTCTGGATTCTAATAGAGGGCCATGAGACTTAGACCTGAGTGCAAAAATGGAGGCTCTAGCCTCTTCCAGAGCTGAGATATCGAAACTCAAAAATTCGGCCCGAAAAAAAACGACAGTGTGCCCTTACGTTTTTTTTTTTTCGGGCGAAAAATTAAGTTTCTCCAATCTTCCCAAAACTCTGGATTCTGATAGAGGGCCATGAGACTTAGACCTGAGTGCAAAAATGGAGGCTCTAGCCCCTTCCAGAGCTGAGATATCGAAACTCAAAAATTCGGCCCGAAAAAAAAACGACAGTGGTACCCCTTACGTTTTTTTTTTTTGCGAAAAATTAAGTTTATCCAATCTTCCCAAAACTCTGGATTCTGATAGAGGGCCATGAGACTTAGACCTGAGTGCAAAAATGGAGGCTCTAGCCCCTTCCAGAGCTGAGATATCGAAACTCAAAAATTCGGCCCGAAAAAAAACGACAGTGGTACCCCTTACGTTTTTTTTTTCGGCGAAAAATTAAGTTTCTCCAATCTTCCCAAAACTCTGGATTCTGATAGAGGGCCATGAGACTTAGACCTGAGTGCAAAAATGGAGGCTCTAGCCTCTTCCAGAGCTGAGATATCGAAACTCAAAAATTCGGCCCGAAAAAAAAACGACAGTGGTACCCCTTACGTTTTTTTTTTTTGGGCGAAAAATTAAGTTTCTCCAATCTTCCAAAAACTCTGGATTCTGATAGAGGGCCATGAGACTTAGACCTGAGTGCAAAAATGGAGGCTCTAGCCCTTTCAGAGCTGAGATATCGAAACTCAAAAATTCGGCCCGAAAAAAAACGACAGTGGTACCCCTTACGTTTTTTTTTTTTGGGCGAAAAATTAAGTTTCTCCAATCTTCCCAAAACTCTGGATTCTGATAGAGGGCCATGAGACTTAGACCTGAGTGCAAAAATGGAGGCTCTAGCCCTTCCAGAGCTGAGATATCGAAACTCAAAAATTCGGCCCGAAAAAAAAAACGACAGTGGTACCCCTTACGTTTTTTTTTTTCTTGCGAAAAATTAAGTTTTATCCAATCTTCCCAAAACTCTGGATTCTGATAGAGGGCCATGAGACTTAGACCTGAGTGCAAAAATGGAGGCTCTAGCCCCTTCCAGAGCTGAGATATCGAAACTCAAAAATTCGGCCCGAAAAAAAAAAAGACAGTGGTACCCCTTACGTTTTTTTTTTCGGGCGAAAAATTAAGTTTCTCCAATCTTCTCAAAACTCTGGATTCTGATAGAGGGCCATGAGACTTAGACCTGAGTGCAAAAATGGAGGCTCTAGCCCCTTCCAGAGCTGAGATATCGAAACTCAAAAATTCGGCCCGAAAAAAAACGACAGTGTACCCCTTACGTTTTTTTTTCTCGGGCGAAAAATTAAATTTCTCCAATCTTCCCAAAACTCTGGATTCTGATAGAGGGCCATGAGACTTAGACCTGAGTGCAAAAATGGAGGCTCTAGCCCCTTCCAGAGCTGAGATATCGAAACTCAAAAATTCGGCCCGAAAAAAAACGACAGTGGTACCCTTACGTTTTTTTTTTTTCGGGCGAAAAATTAAGTTTCTCCAATCTCCCAAAACTCTGGATTCTGATAGAGGGCCATGAGACTTAGACCTGAGTGCAAAAATGGAGGCTCTAGCCCCTTCCAGAGCTGAGATATCGAAACTCAAAAATTCGGCCCGAAAAAAAAAACGACAGTGGTACCCCTTACGTTTTTTTTTTCGGGCGAAAAATTAAGTTTCTCCAATCTTCCCAAAACTCTGGATTCTGATAGAGGGCCATGAGACTTAGACCTGAGTGCAAAAATGGAGGCTAGACCCTTCCAGGCTGAGATATGGACATCCCATGTAGCATTTATGCCATTAAAAAATAGTGGGTTTGTGGACGGTGGAATTATGGGATGGGGCGCTTGGTACCACAGACTCAGGGGGCCTCTCTGAGTGCAGTAAAATAGTTTTTATCATGACAGGAACTTTAATTAAAATGTCTATCAAAAACACTACCGAATCCCCATTCAATAGAGTGCCGATGGGACCGCGTCCAATTGCAGCATATTGAATGAACTGCGGAAAAACTTTAAAAAATATAGTGGGTTATTGGACAAATAGTGGGTTCGTGGGACGGGATTATATATATATTTTTTTCATTTGTTTTAATTTATAGAAACCTCATGAGCTGGTAAAATGTACTTTTCTATTTTTCAGAAACTTGAAACATAATTCAGGTCTGAGGGGGTTAAATGCTGACCTGATTATTAACCTATTTGTGGTCAACTGTGAAACTCTTCATGGCTCTCACTCTCTCACCAGGGAAATTACTCTTTTCTGTGAGCTTCCTGATTTTCTTGCTCATGCTGATCCTCTTGGGGAAGGGATTCACAGTCACAAGGTAGGAGGCCTAACTTCTCACATAATGTGGGTAATGACTTACAAGGCTAATCATGCAAATGTGACCCAGACGTCAAGACAATTTTGTATCCAAATTCTCATACTTTCTGGGTATGTACTGAATTGAGTTATGAACATACTTTTTAACTGTTGATGCAGATGTTCTTTATATGCAGGTGAGGACGGTGATGCTATATCTGCCAATGGGTCTTTTGATGTAGTGATGTTTCTTTTATTTTTTTTGCTTTCCAGGGCAAGAATAAGTCACAGTGGCTCTGTGAAACTGTCCATTTATATGACAGTGTACACCATCACCTACATCATTCTCTTCATATATGAAGCAGAGGTAAGATCTGCTTGCCTTTATCTTTTTCTTTTGTCATATGCTGAGGCTGGGCAATATGCTGGATATTCATAATATACTTGTACTTGTCCTTGCATAATATAGAAATGGATTTTATTTAACAGGGATGCATTAAATTGATCAAAAGTTACAGTAAAACATTACTAGGTTAAAAAAAGCTTTCTATTCTAAATAAATGTTATTCTTTCTGTTCATCAAAAAATCCTGAATAAGTATCATGGTTTCCAAAATATATTAAGCAGCACAACTGTGTTCATTTATAATAAGAAGAAATGTCTCTTGAACAGCAAATCATCATATTAGAATAATTTCTGAAGGATCATGAGACTGAAGACTGGAGTATTGATGTTGAAAATTCAGATTTGTCATTACAGGAATAAATTACATTTTAAAATATATAGCATTATAAACCGTTATTTTAAATTGTAAAAATAAAATGTTTTTACTTTATTTTTGATCAACTAAATGAGCTTAAAGTGAATTATTTCAAATCATTTAAAAAATACTGTTGACCCCAAACTTTTGAATGGTAGAGTATTTCCGATGGTTTTGCTGGCAGTACAATTGAAAAAAAAATGTAATATTTTTTTAAAAAATATTAAAAAAAAAAAAAAACTTTTTTTTTAATTGTATTTTACTTTTTGCATAAAAATGTTGAAATATAATTTGATTCAATGACTTTTTAGTTGAAATGACTTCTTTGGAAATTGAAAAATTAATTTGTTAAAATATTAATGTTCAAATCAAGAGTTCAGATGCAAAAGCCTCTAAGTGCCATTTGAAATATTCTTTGAGAATGATCATTTTTATCAAGCTTGTATATTTAAGTTCCATAATTTCACTTAAATGGCAATGAAGATTACCTATTAATTGTCATTTAAATGAAATTACTGAACTTAAATATACAAGCTTGATGAAAGACAATTTCAAAATGGCACTTTTGAACTCTTCAAATACATTTCAAATATGTACATATCAAAATAATGCTAAAAAATATACATTTATCAAGATACATTTTTGTAGTTACAGGCAAATAATATACTGTATATAACAATACCAGAAATGTGTTCAAAATGTCTATTAATTTCCACATTACCTAATTAAAAAACCTGTTATAATTGAGCACTATCAACTGCAGTTTCTCATGCTGCACCAGAGAGCTACTCTGCCCTATACATAATGTAAAGCTATGAGATGAAGTTACTCAGCACGAGCATGTCGTTCTGCTGTAGCGTGCTGTAATGGAACCCGGCAGATAGACAGATAAAGAGAGCGAGGGAAAGACAGGTAAAGAGAATGACCCAGATAAGCTCTTGCAGTATCATGGAAGAGCTCCTGTTGCATCCTGTGTCAGTGTCACCCTTTGCTCTAAAGCAGCTTTAGATGTTTGGATTTGAGCAATGTTCCGGCAGTTTCCACTTATGCAGCCTAACAGATTGTGCCATGGTTGGATTTAAAACCATCAGTCATACAGATGGGATGCTAAGGGGAGGTGATTTCCCGGTTCCCACTTCCACTGCGTGTGTGTTTGTAGTTCTTTGATCCAGGTGAGGTGCTGTATGCTTATGACAGCCCTGCAGGGTATGGTCTAATGGGTCTGCAACTGCTTGCGTACGTATGGTTCTGCTATGCTGTGCTAGTGTCCCTCAAACACTACCCTGAAAAACAACCTTTCTACATCCCCTTCTTCACTGCTTACACTCTGTGGTAAGTTCTGCAATAAAGATATGTAGATATACCTGAAGCTCATTTTATTATAGTTTTTCACTGGGGTGCTTAAAATACTCGATGAAGAAAGATAAATTGTTACAAACATACAGCACACCAACATTTGCAAGAATGTATGTATGAGTATACATGAGACCAGGCTGAAACTGTCCCTCTCTATTTTGACTCCAGAATCTAGTGGGTTATAATTCTCCACAGCCTTTGTAAATCTATAGAAGAAGATTGACAGTAAAAAGCTGCTGTTCCTCTTTTCATCCATCACTTTTTCACCCATAGGTTTTTTGCTGTGCCAGTCATGGCTCTAATTGCCAACTTTGGCATCTCTCGGTGGGCCAGGGAAAAGATTGTGAACGGCATCCAACTTGGCATCCATCTCTATGCCCATATCGTCTTCCTGGTATGATGTTGTTGTTGTCGTTTATTGCTTGCTTTAAGCAAATAATTTGATCAAATACTCCTGCATGTGACTAACCCTCTCATTTTAGGCAATCACACGCCCGTCAGCAGCCAATAAGAACTTTCCCTACCACGTGCGGACGTCACAGATAGGAATCCTTCTCTCCAGTCCTAAAGGAAGGGGGCAGAATGCTTCCCTCATCATGCTTATGGGAATAGCTCCTTCCTGGGAGACTCTCAGCCAAACTTCACAGAGCTCTTCTCCATCCACTCTGTAAGTATTGAATGTTGTAGATGATTTAAATATGAGTTGAATAATAAATGAAACTTAATTTAAAAAAAAAAAACATACTAATATTATCAGTCTGGGAAGATTTTCAAAATGATTAAGCGACACTCTTAAATGGGTCATGACATGGATTTATTATGTTCCTTGAGGTTCACTAATAATAAATCTCAAAGTTTCTTTGCAAACTATCCATTACATAATTGCCTCGTTTACAAAATAGAATGATCTGACTAAACAGTCCTCTGATGCAATCTTGCAAGGCATTCAAATTGTTTCTGATGCTACAGAGACAAACGCGTTGTCGACAGGTAAGTGTGAAACTAAACACGCATAGCATCTGTATACTGTATCCAGCATCAGTGATTTTATAATGGGTTCTATTTGCTTTTGCAACGCTCACATTCCGTGTAGGCAAATGTCAGCCAATAAGCAATTGAACGCCAGTGGGAGGGGGTCGTCACAAATCTTATAATATTTAAACAAGCCATTTTTGGAGCCCCTTGAGATGTACATCTCATTTTCAAGAGGGTCCTAAAAACAAACAAAATATACAACACAAGTAATAATACTACAACACAAAACAAATTTACAAAAAAAAGAACAAAAAAAAAGAAAATGCTCAACCTGTTTCCCACACACCATGCAACATCATACAATATCAACATAGAATAACAACAGAAGATCCTTGAATTTATCTCAAGTAATTAAGTATTTTTTATAAAACGGTTGGTTCCTTATCAAGGCTACCTAACTCCTCCCCAGAACTCTTCACTTTTGCTGAAACTTATAGGCTCAATGCAAAGAAAAAGAACCGCACTCTCTAGTTAAATCTCATGAAGATTTATTCATTCACCATGTCCACACAGACGCGTTTCGGCCTAAGCCATCATCAGTGAGTGTCATTTTGAGCAGTTTGAGCATTATTGGAAACTTATAGGCTAACACCAGCAGGGCTGGCCAATTGATGCAAAATGCAAATTCTGAACACTGTTACAGTATAAATGCAGATGCGGCATCAATTTCCTTCAGAATCTCTCAGTTGACGCTCAAATGGCGTGCTATTACACTATCTACCTAACTTCTACCAGGATATCTCTCGCTGTCGTTGAAGGTCTGCTGACTGTCTTCTGTCTGATTTTTAGGATGTGTAACCAATTAAGCAATTCATACATAACATGACAATGATGAGTACGATGACAAATGCTTTGTGTATAATCAGGAGGACATGTTAAAAGATTTAGTTCACCCAAAAATTTTAATTCTGTCATTACTCTTCCTCGTGTCGTTTCAAACCTGTTAAACCTTTGTTTATCGTCAGAACACAAATTAAGAAAGCTCTCGGATTTAATCAAAAATATCTTAATTTGTGTTCCAAAAATGAACGAAGGTCTTACAGATTTGTAACTGTTGACAGAATTTTCATTTTTGGGTCAACTAACCCTTTAAGCCAAAAAGTTGCAGTAGGCTGTTTTAATGGTAAAAAGACCTATTAAATGTCAAGAGATCAAGGCAAATTTAATTCTTAAGTCAAGTACTTTTTATTCTTTTAAATCTAAAGCACTTTTTTTCACTATAATGAACCTTTTGTGAAATGGAAATGTTCCATGGGTGTTAAAGGATCTTAATGGAAACATACTGTAGATGCCAATAAAGAATCTTTATATTTAGGAGTGTTCAATGCTATTTCTTAAATTCCATGTCATGTTTCTCTATTTAGGACCCTGTAAAGACTATAGATGAGACGGTGACTCGGAAGGGACAGGAAGTGCCAAGGAACAGCGAGCACAAGATCATCACCACAACGGCAGACCTGTCGTCTACATTCTCCCCTCTTCCTCCTCCAATACCACCACGCAGCTCTGCACACTCTCCCCCTCCTCCTAGATTAACGTCCCACTTCACCGAGTATTTTAGTATGCAAGGGGCCACTGGGATTCTGGGTTCCAATGCCTTGAGCGGGCCGTAGAGGAACAGGCCATGCGGAAACAACTTTCAAACATCTACGAGGTGGAAAAGAGTTCAATATTTCAATAGATTAGGTTAAGGCAAGCGTGAAAAAGTAAAGGCATTTTCAAAAAAAAGTTACCAAACATCCGTATCTTTGAATTTGTAAAAGGAAACGCAAACTGCAGAACGTCGAGAGAGAGGGAGAGAAAATAAGAATAAGAAGCAATAAATATTTCAGTGAGATGACGTAGTCACTGGAGACGAGAGATAAAATACAGGCAGTGCAATAGAGTGACAGGACACGACGGTGAATCTAGAGTATAGCTATTTTAAGCTTAAAGTGATTTTAGGATAGCGATGTGTACAGTAACAGTACAGTGAGCTCTTGACATATTTTTTAATGCTTTGTTCATTTCCAGTGTTGCCGTTAATATTTGTATTTCCTTGCCATTTTAATGCAAAAGAACCAAGTATTCATCTCCCTCAGTTATTTTGAATGTTTTATTTACTAATTTTGTCTGTGAAGTTGAGATAATTTAGGGTTTATATATTTCTATTCACATTGAATACGGTTGGAGACTTAGCAAACTGATGTTAAACTGCAATGGCAAGTTAACTGGAATAACTAGGCAGTATTTGTATACCATGCATGTTTGTGCTTTGTCTACATTCAGATATATTCAATGTAATTTTGGGTGTGCCTAGTTTTTGCAACTAGCCGTCTTCATTTTGTAAGCAGTACGCACTGTTTATAGCTATAGTGTCTAGAGAATATTTAACTCAAGCGGATGATGACCATGACAGCTTCATCTTTATCCTGTCTTTCTGTATTGTTCATTCCATAATAGCAGATAATACAGTGCAGGGGTTTGTGGAGTTAAGATTCAATTCCAGCTAACTTTGTTATACATTTGTACATGTAATAACACTCGCAGCGGTCATAAATTGTCTGTGAATGGAAAGTAGAATCATTCAGTCCACTGGGGTTGTCGTAAGTTTTGTTTACTTGATTGTCTGATGAAAATATAATAGCTCTACTCTTACAGAAACACTTTGTATTGACTGCATGGAGCACTTTACTGTTTTTCATTACCATCAGAGACCCTTGATGGCAATCATGATGCAATAGAATGAATGACAAATGTACAGGTAAAATGTGAAGGTTTTATCTGTAAAATGCCCATTATCACTGCTGTGCTTGTTTTTATTTTAAAAGAAAAGCAAGCTGTGGGTCGTATTTATGTTATATATATATGAACATATCCTATATAATCTCCACCTGAAACTGACCCATTTTAAATCTAAGTTATGTACATAATGACATATTTATATTCAAAATAGTTTTTTTAAAGAGATTAACCATTCTTGAAGAATCGTTAAAGATTGTTTTTTGTTTTTGTTTTGTATTAACAGACTTGTATGGGCCTGAAACACTTGATTTGCAACTTGATTTGTCAGGAAGCCACAAGAAATGGTTATTCTAAAAGGTTTTGCCATGATTTTTCAGTGAATGTTGCACACCTAGCAGAGAAGAGACAGATTTTTTTTTGAATGTATGATAGATAAGAGCACATCACATTTGGGAGCACAGAAAGATTCAGTTAAGCACATTTCTGTTGCACTGTTCATACTGAATGCATTTTAATAGTGTCAAATGACTTGGCAGTGCATACCCTTTTGCCAAATTAAAATGGTCTGTTTTACTACAATGGATTGTTTGTTTCTTTTTGCAATAATAGATTACCAACGAATGTAGCTAATTGTAAACCTACTACTCTGGAGTACAAATCATTCCCTAACAAATTATTGTCATGGGGCTTGAAAAGTTTAAAACCATGTAGTCACACCCCTATACCCAAGTGAATCCTAAATATTGACCCATATTGGGATGCAAGAAAATATAAGCAGGGGGTTGCACCCAAACAAAAAGTACTTTAAAACAAACAGATTCATAAAAAAAATAGTATCTTTCTAATGTATACTTTCATTCGACTGTCACACCATTGGTTCGTCTGGAATTAATTGGTGAAGACAAAATGCCAAATAAAAATGTCAAATCATCTGTTTGTGACCAGTTACCAGCACCCCAGACACACTCATCTTATACAGATATATCCATTTTGATTTTAAAATTCTGAATTAAAAAAAAACATGGGCATGTTAGATCATCAACTATACACTCAATATTGGATATTTTAATTCAATGTATACTGGTTTATGACATAAAACATAATGTACAAATACAGTGCAAGTTTAGAAGTCCTTTTTCTCAGCGGCCATTAGAGCTTTTTCTTCTCGGTATCCTTTCAGAAGTTGGTTTATCAAACTCAGTTCACGGACACGTTTCACAGGGAGCAGGGGAGGGAAAGGGTTGCCCTTGTACTCCAGGACAGCCATTGCTGCGCGGTCCAGATTCTCTCTGTTAGGAATGCGGGCCATGCGTGTATATTCACCTGTCTGATTCTCAAATCTTACCGCCAGAACTTTGAAGAGTTTGGGGATCAAATCTTTTTCCTGAATGAAAAAATATAAATCAATGTAGATGTCCTTTACTCAGAAATACTGTTAGATACTCTTATTTTTCAAGGAATGACCGAAACTTACTGTTAGCCAGAAATCAGCCATTTTCATTGACTTTTCATCGGTTTCTCCTTTTTTTGCATAATCAATAATCTAAAAAAGAAAATACAAATGTTAAAGTCAAAATAGCAACAAAGTCATTCCAAAACAATATTAGTTTTAATGAATCATTTTAATTGTTGAAAACACAAAACTCTTTAAAGGGATAGTTCAACACAAAAATGATTTAGGCTCATCATCATCATGAATCATCATTTATTTTAGTCAACCTCAAGTTGTCCCTAAACTACAATTTTTTTTTCTTCCGCTGAACACAAAAATATATTTTGAGGAATGTCAGTAACCAAACAGTTGATGGGCCCCATGACATCCATATTTTTTTTTTCCAATGGGGATCATTAACTGTTTGTTTGGTTGCCCATATTCTTCTAAAGCTCTTCTTTTACAGAGAAGAAAGAAATTTAGACCGGTTTGGAATTGAGGGCGAGTAGCCTAAATTATGATAGAAGTGTTTGAACTAGTGTCACTGTTTGGATATTTTAGCTTTAACCATATATATATATATATATATATATATATATATATATATGAAAATGAATGATATACAAAAACATAATACCAATTACTGATAATATATAAAATAAGTAGATACATATGTTTATATTAAGTAACTTAGAGTAGAGACCATTTATGTATTGGATAAAAATTGCTTTTAAGAAAAATGTAATGCTGTTGATAAGGTATATATTACAGACGAAGAAATGAAGGACAACGAGGAATAGGGCCAAGAAGAGAGCATACGTCAGAAACACCTTAAAAATGTCATGGAAGACTTGGCAGCTCTCTGTTTGATGAAAGCAGAAGAGAGTCTGACATCGGCAGTGAAATCTTTGAGTATAGAAGACTGACCAGGCAGATACTGATTGAGCGGTATCTCTCGACACCAGAAACCCAGCTACCTTTGATTTAGAACTTGCTTTATATTGTAAAGTTGCAATTATTTTTTGTCTTTTAACATTTATTTTTGGAATATTAATAAATAACTATTATACTAATTGCAAGCAATTGTCTACCAGTATAGTTGTTAATAAACCTTGAGCAAGAACTGACCACAGAGAAGTCTTCTGAACAAGTTGTAAGTACCATTTGAATGCTTATGATTTAGGTGAGATTTTACTTACTCTAACGTTACCTAACCTGAGGATAATAAATAAGGTTAAAGCGCACACCGTAAAACAATATATACATACTTTATTTTAATATATTGCTACATATAAATGTATTGCTATTTTTACATCACGATCAAATCTTTATTCTGTCAAAATATTTTTTACAAATGTTTTCAAAGTTTGACGCCATTTTATCCTTTTAAATTTAACGTTTAAAATATTAATTTATTTAGGCTAATAAATGTAGGTACTGAAAACCTGTAGTCGGCTGCTTGTAATGTTACTTGCCTTTTCAGCGTAAAAGCGAACTTCATCGGCTCGGGCTCTTGTTGTCTCTATCCTTTCGTGTCGAACCAGACCAGTGAGTATGTTCCGAAGCATGTTGATTCTGGACTCAGGTCCGAGTCCCATCCGACGAGCCACTCGGCCATGGGAAATCAAAGCCCGCAGGGTCAGTCGCATTTCAAGAAGCAATGAAGGACACTAACGTTCCTCCTCCAGAAAAGAAATCCCCTTTGTTACACAACGTAAAATACTGCACAAGTAAAGATAACTCACACCAGCACTGCTGTGATCAGCGACTGAATCCACCGTACATAAAAAGTGAATTTATTTAAACTAGAGTAAAAAGTTGTACGTTCAGGCGCTGGTTTAGATACAATCAGGCTACAATACCAACATGCGAGATGGTACGTCGGTCTGAAGAGTCCGGAATGAAAAACAAGATTTGATTAAGGTTCCGCAAGCAAGTTTTGACAAAATCGATTACATCAAGCACCAAATATGGTTAAAATAAGGTTATGTGGCTTACCTCTTAAAATGTTTAGGCCAGTTTTCTTATCACATTTTAAGTAGACCTTATATAGTTATATTTTAAATTTATTTAAAAAATATTTAGCCTAAGGTTCTCCACTTGAGTGTTCTTGTCTGATGCCCATTTGAACTCCTTGAAAAGGCTGCTTGCTAATAAAAGTAACGTAGAAAAAGTCTTGGGGTAAGAAAAAGGAAAGCTTAAATCTTAAAGTTTAATTCTGTCATAAAAAAACAAGTTTTTAAAACAAACCTTTATCTTAGGAAGCAGACTCTTCATGCAAGAAAATGTATACCAAAATAGCCAACATACAGCATTGTACAACTATTTATCTTCAGCCATAAATTGTAGAAAATAGAAATCATATGTGTTGTTACAATGCTGTCCTTTGGCTTAGTGTGCTTGGCTTTGTTTAACCCATTCAGACCCTGTGTCAATTACAATGGACATCACATGTCAGCCCCCTTTTTTTAAAGCTGAGATATCGAAACTCAAAAATTCGGCCCGAAAAAAAAAACGACAGTGGTACCCCTTACGTTTTTTTTTTTTTCGGGCGAAAAATTAAGTTTCTCCAATCTTCTCAAAACTCTGGATTCTGATAGAGGGCCATGAGACTTAGACCTGAGTGCAAAAATGGAGGCTCTAGCCCCTTCCAGAGCTGAGATATCGAAACTCAAAAATTCGGCCCGAAAAAAAAAACGACAGTGGTACCCCTTACGTTTTTTTTTTTGGGCGAAAAATTAAGTTTCTCCAATCTTCTCAAAACTCTGGATTCTGATAGAGGGCCATGAGACTTAGACCTGAGTGCAAAAATGGAGGCTCTAGCCCCTTCCAGAGCTGAGATATCGAAACTCAAAAATTCGGCCCGAAAAAAAAAACGACAGTGGTACCCCTTACGTTTTTTTTTTTGGGCGAAAAATTAAGTTTCTCCAATCTTCCCAAAACTCTGGATTCTGATAGAGGGCCATGAGACTTAGACCTGAGTGCAAAAATGGAGGCTCTAGCCCCTTCCAGAGCTGAGATATCGAAACTCAAAAATTCGGCCCGAAAAAAAACGACAGTGGTACCCCTTACGTTTTTTTTTTTGGGCGAAAAATTAAGTTTCTCCAATCTTCCCAAAACTCTGGATTCTGATAGAGGGCCATGAGACTTAGACCTGAGTGCAAAAATGGAGGCTCTAGCCCCTTCCAGAGCTGAGATATCGAAACTCAAAAATTCGGCCCGAAAAAAAAACGACAGTGGTACCCCTTACGTTTTTTTTTTTTGGGCGAAAAATTAAGTTTCTCCAATCTTCCCAAAACTCTGGATTCTGATAGAGGGCCATGAGACTTAGACCTGAGTGCAAAAATGGAGGCTCTAGCCCCTTCCAGAGCTGAGATATCGAAACTCAAAAATTCGGCCCGAAAAAAAAACGACAGTGGTACCCCTTACGTTTTTTTTTTTTGGGCGAAAAATTAAGTTTCTCCAATCTTCCCAAAACTCTGGATTCTGATAGAGGGCCATGAGACTTAGACCTGAGTGCAAAAATGGAGGCTCTAGCCCCTTCCAGAGCTGAGATATCGAAACTCAAAAATTCGGCCCGAAAAAAAAACGACAGTGGTACCCCTTACGTTTTTTTTTTTGGGGCGAAAAATTAAGTTTCTCCAATCTTCCCAAAACTCTGGATTCTGATAGAGGGCCATGAGACTTAGACCTGAGTGCAAAAATGGAGGCTCTAGCCCCTTCCAGAGCTGAGATATCGAAACTCAAAAATTCGGCCCGAAAAAAAAACGACAGTGGTACCCCTTACGTTTTTTTTTTGGGCGAAAAATTAAGTTTCTCCAATCTTCCCAAAACTCTGGATTCTGATAGAGGGCCATGAGACTTAGACCTGAGTGCAAAAATGGAGGCTCTAGCCCCTTCCAGAGCTGAGATATCGAAACTCAAAAATTCGGCCCGAAAAAAAAAACGACAGTGGTACCCCTTACGTTTTTTTTTTTGGGCGAAAAATTAAGTTTCTCCAATCTTCCCAAAACTCTGGATTCTGATAGAGGGCCATGAGACTTAGACCTGAGTGCAAAAATGGAGGCTCTAGCCCCTTCCAGAGCTGAGATATCGAAACTCAAAAATTCGGCCCGAAAAAAAAACGACAGTGGTACCCCTTACGTTTTTTTTTTTTGGGCGAAAAATTAAGTTTCTCCAATCTTCCCAAAACTCTGGATTCTGATAGAGGGCCATGAGACTTAGACCTGAGTGCAAAAATGGAGGCTCTAGCCCCTTCCAGAGCTGAGATATCGAAACTCAAAAATTCGGCCCGAAAAAAAAAACGACAGTGGTACCCCTTACGTTTTTTTTTTTTGGCGAAAAATTAAGTTTCTCCAATCTTCCCAAAACTCTGGATTCTGATAGAGGGCCATGAGACTTAGACCTGAGTGCAAAAATGGAGGCTCTAGCCCCTTCCAGAGCTGAGATATCGAAACTCAAAAATTCGGCCCGAAAAAAAAACGACAGTGGTACCCCTTACGTTTTTTTTTTTTGGGCGAAAAATTAAGTTTCTCCAATCTTCCCAAAACTCTGGATTCTGATAGAGGGCCATGAGACTTAGACCTGAGTGCAAAAATGGAGGCTCTAGCCCCTTCCAGAGCTGAGATATCGAAACTCAAAAATTCGGCCCGAAAAAAAAACGACAGTGGTACCCCTTACGTTTTTTTTTTTGGGCGAAAAATTAAGTTTCTCCAATCTTCCCAAAACTCTGGATTCTGATAGAGGGCCATGAGACTTAGACCTGAGTGCAAAAATGGAGGCTCTAGCCCCTTCCAGAGCTGAGATATCGAAACTCAAAAATTCGGCCCGAAAAAAAAACGACAGTGGTACCCCTTACGTTTTTTTTTTTTGGGCGAAAAATTAAGTTTCTCCAATCTTCCCAAAACTCTGGATTCTGATAGAGGGCCATGAGACTTAGACCTGAGTGCAAAAATGGAGGCTCTAGCCCCTTCCAGAGCTGAGATATCGAAACTCAAAAATTCGGCCCGAAAAAAAAAACGACAGTGGTACCCCTTACGTTTTTTTTTTTTGGGCGAAAAATTAAGTTTCTCCAATCTTCCCAAAACTCTGGATTCTGATAGAGGGCCATGAGACTTAGACCTGAGTGCAAAAATGGAGGCTCTAGCCCCTTCCAGAGCTGAGATATCGAAACTCAAAAATTCGGCCCGAAAAAAAAAACGACAGTGGTACCCCTTACGTTTTTTTTTTTTGGGCGAAAAATTAAGTTTCTCCAATCTTCCCAAAACTCTGGATTCTGATAGAGGGCCATGAGACTTAGACCTGAGTGCAAAAATGGAGGCTCTAGCCCCTTCCAGAGCTGAGATATCGAAACTCAAAAATTCGGCCCGAAAAAAAAAACGACAGTGGTACCCCTTACGTTTTTTTTTTTGGGCGAAAAATTAAGTTTCTCCAATCTTCCCAAAACTCTGGATTCTGATAGAGGGCCATGAGACTTAGACCTGAGTGCAAAAATGGAGGCTCTAGCCCCTTCCAGAGCTGAGATATCGAAACTCAAAAATTCGGCCCGAAAAAAAAACGACAGTGGTACCCCTTACGTTTTTTTTTTTGGGCGAAAAATTAAGTTTCTCCAATCTTCCCAAAACTCTGGATTCTGATAGAGGGCCATGAGACTTAGACCTGAGTGCAAAAATGGAGGCTCTAGCCCCTTCCAGAGCTGAGATATCGAAACTCAAAAATTCGGCCCGAAAAAAAAACGACAGTGGTACCCCTTACGTTTTTTTTTTTGGGCGAAAAATTAAGTTTCTCCAATCTTCCCAAAACTCTGGATTCTGATAGAGGGCCATGAGACTTAGACCTGAGTGCAAAAATGGAGGCTCTAGCCCCTTCCAGAGCTGAGATATCGAAACTCAAAAATTCGGCCCGAAAAAAAAACGACAGTGGTACCCCTTACGTTTTTTTTTTTTGGGCGAAAAATTAAGTTTCTCCAATCTTCCCAAAACTCTGGATTCTGATAGAGGGCCATGAGACTTAGACCTGAGTGCAAAAATGGAGGCTCTAGCCCCTTCCAGAGCTGAGATATCGAAACTCAAAAATTCGGCCCGAAAAAAAAAACGACAGTGGTACCCCTTACGTTTTTTTTTTTTGGGCGAAAAATTAAGTTTCTCCAATCTTCCCAAAACTCTGGATTCTGATAGAGGGCCATGAGACTTAGACCTGAGTGCAAAAATGGAGGCTCTAGCCCCTTCCAGAGCTGAGATATCGAAACTCAAAAATTCGGCCCGAAAAAAAAACGACAGTGGTACCCCTTACGTTTTTTTTTTTTGGGCGAAAAATTAAGTTTCTCCAATCTTCTCAAAACTCTGGATTCTGATAGAGGGCCATGAGACTTAGACCTGAGTGCAAAAATGGAGGCTCTAGCCCCTTCCAGAGCTGAGATATCGAAACTCAAAAATTCGGCCCGAAAAAAAAACGACAGTGGTACCCCTTACGTTTTTTTTTTTGGGCGAAAAATTAAGTTTCTCCAATCTTCTCAAAACTCTGGATTCTGATAGAGGGCCATGAGACTTAGACCTGAGTGCAAAAATGGAGGCTCTAGCCCCTTCCAGAGCTGAGATATCGAAACTCAAAAATTCGGCCCGAAAAAAAAACGACAGTGGTACCCCTTACGTTTTTTTTTTTTGGGCGAAAAATTAAGT